TTAGGCCACCTGTGGCCTAAATAAGGTAAGGGAGGGGGGTTTAGCTTATTTAGGCCATATGTGGCCTAAATAAGGTCACCCTAATTGAATTGAAGCTTGCTGATTTAAGTGTTCGCTGGAATCGGGTTAGTTTTATTGATTTTAAAGAAGGAAAAAAAAACAGGGAATCCATCTCCTCTCGTTGAATCTGAGTTCTCATTGAATCTGAGCTCGTTGAATCCGAGTTCCACTGTACATCTTGGCACTTAAATTAAGTCCAATTAAACAAAAATTATATTCAGACTCTGAATCGACTCTGGCATGACGTCACTTCTGACTTCCGACCCTTGTTCCTAATAATGATAAACTATCGAGACGTGAGCTTTTATATCAAGTTTCTAGATCTATCTAAAATGGCCCTCCCTGCATCATTAGATCTAGATCTAGTATGAACAGAACTACTAAGTTGAGTTGACCTTGAGGAGGGCAAAGTTTATTATGTCAACCAATGAGATTTGATTGCACGTTGCGATCACGCACTTTCGGCTTACTGGGGGGAAGAGGTGCTGGGAACTGGCCATGGTTGTTGATTTTGTGCGATGTGATTTAAAAATCAATTACAGAAAAACTATAGGCTAACATACGCACAGCAAAATGAAATTCAAACATGTATCTAGCATCTGCGTTTGTTGCCATTTTATTGTCCAAAAGTTGCCACAAAAATGGCAAAAGTTGCCAATAATTTTCTAGCTATAAACTGTCTGTGATGACGTTATATGTTGATAGAGGTAACTTAATGTGAAGTACCAAAATTTCTTGTGTTCTGTTTCAAGCATCCAGAATATCATTCGTAGCCACACACAGTGTAAAAATGTGAAAAATAAAGGTTTCACAACAGAATGAAATTAAAATTAGAAAAGAACATAAACAACCTCAAAAATGAACAAATAAGAAGAGTGGCCGTTTTAACACTAAAAGTGTGTTATATTCAAGAAAAAGTACAGGATATCACATGTAAATTATGGAATCTCACATAAAAGGGGTCTGCCAGTGTCAGTACATGTACATGTATTCTAACATTTTTACGCATTTAATTTTTTTTTTTTAAAGATAGGAACAACATCATATTAAATGATATTGACATTACGATAAACACAAAAAATAGAAAACACATCAGAACAATAACAAGAAAAGAAAATAACACACCAGCAAATTAAAACACAACGAAGAGAGAAAAATAAAAGAGAAACAGCAATATAAAAATTGAATAGTATGTACCAGACTTTTTTTCACATGAAAATAACAAATAAACGTGGTGTCAACAAGTAAGAAAGAGACGAAGTGCGGGCAGAAGTGAAAATAAACTTTCTTTCTAAAAGTAAAGAGGTTCGTTTTCTTTTCTTTTTTTTCCGTTTTGTATACTCGTTTTTAAAATTATTTTTTATTCCCCGGCGGTGTGGCATTTGGAAAAAAGACGAAAATCGCGGCCGCAATTCGCGGACCAAACAATGCAAAAGAACGCAGCCGCGATTCACGGACCAAAAAATGCAAAAGAACGCAGCCGCGATTCACGGGTCTCGGCCGCGACAAACGCAGATGCTAGATGTATGTGGAAAGACAAACGGTAATGGAAGTAATGATGATGCTGTACTGTAGTGATGGTGGAAAGACCCTTACACTCACATAACTCATATTTAGAAGCAGAGTTCGAATAAATAAAACAATTTTTTTCGGACTCGAGTCCGAGTAGATTAAAAAATCTAATCGGACTCGAGTCCGAATTCAGCTGGCCTAAAAGTTACGTCAGACTTCAGTGTCAGTAGTCTAGTAGTTGTCTTGAGTGAGATAAGGTAGTGCTTCAAGTTACTTCAACTTACACTAAAAAAGTGTACTATCAACAGGCAAAGCAAGAAAAATACGGCGCGGGTTTGGCCCCAAGAGAAATGAAATATCAATATAGTAACTTCATACGGGGCAGGGTTTTGTAAGAGATAGGGGTAGGATTGTAGAACAGTGACAGAAGGATAGTACAGTATAATCCACTTATATCGACACTTCTGGTAGATTGTAATGTAATTAAGTAATTCGTGTAAACCAGGGACCAAAACTGGATTGCCTCCAAAATTATAGAAGATTACACACGCTCACACAAGTAACAAAGTATTTAGCCTACATGATACTACTGTAACAACTCCATAAGTTTACCACCCTAGTTCTGTTATTTATAATAATTTCATAAAATGATGATGTGCACATCTCTCTGTAAGATTGCAGGTAGGCTATCTAGATCTAGAATGTTACAACATCTTAATTTTAATTAATCCTAGTGATACAATAACTTTTAAAGGACTTTCTAACTTAATATGAAGCAATTCAATGATGAATTTAGGCCTATACTAGCATACAGATCAAAATTAAAACTACTTTTCTCTACTCTTCATTTCATATTATGGATCTAGTTTTTCCTTTTTATGATTTTTAACCACCTCTACCCCCCCCCCCCCTTTTGCACCGAAATTAAAATGCTGTTCCTGAAACCTTTGTTGACCTGAACTGGGCTGCTTCTCCTTATCCATTTGGGATAGTAACTTAATAATGATCTCAAATGGAAGCATGGGGTACTTCTAATCTATGTAATAAAGTACGACACGGTGAACAGTCATACAGCATAGTGAAAATAAAAAGGACAACAGGAAGCACACATGACAGATATGTAAAGCTGTAGTCTTTTATGAGTTTCAGTATCAGAATATGACAACTCAGCAACCTAGGCTATGAATCCCATTGTTCCTGGAGAGGTATTTTTTAGCTCTTGCTAAATTGGAATGTGATCGATAAATTGGGTTGTTTGGTTCTTGCCCATGTGTGAAAAAATCTTCCTTCGTGGGTAAATCATGCGGACTTATGAAGCAAGTACTGGTTTTAATTAACTTCAGGGGTGCTGCTACTCCTTTTCACCTTTTCTGTAAAGGAATTTAGCGTACTGGATCTTCATTTTTGGCGTGTTGATGGCAGTTCCTCCTTTTAATATATATATGTAAATTTTATATTATTGATTTTTTTACAGCAGTGGTGGAAGTCTTATCAGGTCTCCTGAATGGCTGATGACGATAACGATGACGAAGAACTTATTACTCGTCGAAGGTCTCGAGGAAAACGAAGCAAGAGAATGGCCAAGATTCCAAATAGCACAGTAAACAGTCCTCATTTACTCAAGATTCCTGTGGAAGAGGTAGAGGTGGTTTGGGGCTTAATTGGGAATTTTATTTCTTTGAGAAATTAAGGAAAAAATTCCATTCTCTTTTTTTTTGGTCATTGATCAAAGTAAAAAAAAACCCTTCATCAGCAGATTTAGGGATTTTGTCAATTATTTTTAAATTGGAAGTTTCTTTTTCATGTGTACATGTATAAATATAAACAGACACACTCACACACGCACACACACACAAATACACTCACGCACACACACACACTCACACATACACATGCACACTCACACACACACACATATGCCCATGTGCGCGCATACACACACACTCACACACACACACACACACGCACACACACATGCACACACACACACATACACACACACACTTTTATTTATTATGTAACTTGGACAAAAATTCAAAATCAAAGGCAGTGTTATAAAGCTTTATAATTATAAACTTTTTATTTCTTGAATTTGGTTTTTCAAAACCGTATGAAGTATTTACTCTGGCGAACAGAAAATTGCTATAATTGAAAGGATTAAATGTCTTACCTTGTTGGTATACTATTTTTTGTGTCAGCAAAGGCTTAAAATTAGAATCAGACAGTGCGTTGCTCTGAAACAGATCATACTACTATGAAGGTAAGGGATTCGATTTCTCTCTAGGAAAAAGTTATGTTAATGTTTTTTATTTTTTATTATGTATGATATTGTGAGGCAAATTACCTTTGTTAATAATGGTTGTCTTTTTTTTCCTTATCACCTTTATGTTTCTTAAAATTTCTAATAATACTTAATTTCCAGACTTTTTTTTGTCTTCATGCTCAACAGATGACGAGTCCTGTTAACAAACAGGGATTTGAGGTTGACCAGGAATCTGATTTTCTAAATGAAAGTGACTTAATTCTAGCACAATTAGATTTTGAAAATGAATTGGAAGAAGAATACAGTGACTCTTCTCATAGGAGTAGAAAAAGATCAATACCCTTGTCATCCATGGAAGTTCAGAACCGCAATCATAGTAAAAGACAGTTGTGTCAGCCAGTGAGTGACAAAAACATTATAAATAAAGACAGTAAAGATTTTCAAGTGGATGTGAACTGTGAAAATAAAGGTGGACCTGATAAAGAGATAGTTTCTGACAGCAGTTCAGTCCTTTTCCACAGTCACGGGGAGGATTGTGATAAGAAACCTTTGTTATGTGATGGAGACATTCATGATGATGAGAAAGATCTTTTTGAAGATGAAGATGACTTCTTTTATCCTCTGGATTTATCACACTTGGAAAGTTCAGAAAAGTCACAAACAGATCACAGGGAAGAGTCCCCTGGCCACAGTGGAAAGAGGTTTCACAAAGTATCTTCATCAAATAATGTAATCGTTACCACTTCAAGTGACAAACGAGATTCATCTGCTTTACCTGCAGATGTTGTATCATCTAGTGAAATTCAGAATTCATGCTTGGTTGCCAAAATAAGTGTTGCTGAAAAAGATGTAAGTGTGGTTAATAACTCCAGAAAAAATGTAAGTGAAGTTGATAACTCAGGAAAATATGTAAGTGCAGTTGATAACTCAGGAAAAGATGTAAGTGTAGTTGATGCGTCAATGTCACTGAAAGACCGGCTCAAGCAGAGGCTGCGTCAAAATGCTGGGGTGGCTATCGTGAAACGGAATCTTGAAGAAGAAATACGGTCAGAGGCATTGGTGAAAGCTCGTCTTGATGCCTCTCAGATCAGGAAGGAAGGTGGAAAGGATGATATTGGACCCTTCTATGGACTCCCAGTCAAGGTCAAAGAGTTGTATGAGAGCCTCAGGAGAATCAAGAAACTCTATGGTGAGAACGTTTCTTCCCCTGCTTAAGTGCTATTTGTTCTGTGAGTTTGGTTATCTTAAAGCTCTATCAGGAGACGCTTGTCACTTATTCTGAAAGTACAGTCGAACCTCTGTAAGACGGCCACCCATTGTCAAGGAGAAAAGTTGCTGTATAAGACGGGTGGGCAGGACTGATCAAGATGAAGAAGGCAAACCATTCTCTTCTGAGGTCCCAACCGAAGGTTACAGCATTGTTGCTTTTGTTGCTGTTTTCGTTTATTTGTTTTTTGTTTGCTTTTTTATATTTTGTTGCTTATTTTGTGCAAGGGTGACAATAAAATGAAATGTGTGAGACGAGTAAGGCCGAGTGCAATGTTAAAACAAACACATGAGTTGCCACCACTCGACCCGGAGAACGAGCGACGCTTCTGTCCGAAGTTCACGTTGACGTCCATTGTTACCTGTTTACAGACTGGGCAAACAGTGACCACTCATCTCACGTATGATTTGTGTATGAGTTCTGGGTGTGGCTTATGGGCTATGAGGGATTACACGGTTATCTCTCTAGCAGCTGAAAATTTGTTACCCATTGGTCAACAGTGGGAGGGGCCAACGCAACATTATCGGTTGGAAGGAAACTACCTAACAACAACGAGGGATGATTGGATTATGACGGCTCGTCCACAACGCCAGGGGCCAATGCATTATTATGACAAAACGTAATGGAGTCACCAAGGTGGCCTTCTAAGACAGGCGTTATTGTTTGGTATGATAAGGGTTGTGTTGCGTTGGACAGGTGGCCGTTTTATACATTGAAATTATGTAGTAAAAACGCAAGGGGGGGAATGGAAAGTGGTAGTTTGTACAGGTGGCCGTCTTATAGAGGTGGCAGTCAGGCAGGTTTGAGTGTACTTGGTTTATTTCCAGGTTCATGCTGACCAGCAGGTGACTTTTACTTTTGTTCTTTTTCTCAAATACCGTTCCCTCTTGCAAATTTTTTTTTTTAGCAACATCAGAATGCACAATTCATTTTTTCCTTTTGAGGATGTAACTTGCAATGCTAGGAACTACATAGTTATAGTTAGTAAGAGGGATATATATGCTTTCAAGCGTGTAAATCATGTGCTTTTAGAAACCCCCTGCCAAACCTATCTCTTCTATGCAGATTGGCAGCATGAATGTTTACTGCTACCAGCAATACAAGCTCATCAAAATTTGATATACACCTTGCCGACCAGTGGTGGAAAAACCTTGGTTGCTGAGATCCTCATCATGAAAGAGTTGTTATGTCACCAGAAAGATGCTTTACTCATTCTTCCCTTTGTCTCCATTGTGCAGGAGAAGGTAAGATGGAATGATAAGTAATTAGAAGAGTAGCTTGAGGCTGCTGATTGAGGTGGTGTTTGCAGGAAGGAATGATGCCAGAGCAACTAGCATGATGGCACATTCTTGTAAACCAATAGGAAAAGAAATTATGGATGCCTACAATACTTTTATACCATTATGATCTTTGTTGACTGATTTTAAGCACATAATCATTCGTCCTGCATTGGGCCAAACTAAAAGAAAAAATGAAGTATTGTCAAGTGACAAAAGTGTATGTGTGATCATGTCTGTCTGTACTTTTTACCTGGTAAAAAATTAAGGAAATGTGTTCCGAGACGAGGTTCCAACTTGGCTAGGGAGACCAGGGAAATTATTTGCGATGCTCATGCGTGATTCACCGGTTCACACGGGGTGACGGGTTCATTTGCATCTAAACAAACCATTTATTCTGACTTGTGTTCCTTTTATTTTAATGCTTTCCTGGTGACCTAAAACTAAGACAGAATACTTCAGACTTAATGTGATGATCAGTTTTATTAATGACCAAATTGTTGGCTTAAAAATAAAATGTGCGTGAAATAGATCTAGTGCAGGCCTTAGTGAAAGACAATAGACTACCTAGACACAGATTCTTAGGTTCATTTTGAAAATTCTTAGATAAAGGTCCTGAAATCAAATCCTGCCAGAGGTGAATTTTGATTTGCTTTTCTGAATGTGGCTTAATTTGTGTCCAGTGGGGCTTAAAACGCAGAAACAAACAGTTTTGATTCCTCAGTGATGCTCTTGATGCTAAAAAAATGCCTCAACAGTTGTCTAGGTACTAGGTAGATCTTAGGTCCTACTGGTACCTGAGGAAACTATAGAGCGAAACACCCAAGAAATTAGATTCTAGGAATTAAAGGGGCTAAAATAATGGTGTCAGTGGGTTATCTATACATGTATTGGCCCTGTAGCTCCTTTGTTTCCAAAAGATACCTTTTTCTACACTTCTACACAAATTCTGAAAACAAGATACTTTAGAACAACATATCTCTGTATTAAAAAAGTTTTAAAAGGGCACAAAAAATATCATTTTGGAAATTTTGATGCTGGAACTTTTTAATATGGATTAAATACATAATATTATACTGTCTAACTAGGATCCTGGTCTCCTTAGCCTCTTCCAAAAATTAAATTAAAATTTAAACATCAATTGCAAAACATTAAGAAAATTAGAGAAGAAGAACTTTATTATTGTCATAAGAAATTTTACTCGCAGCTGTTCCAAGTGACAGCAAAACATGATTACACTTTAGCCCAGTAGATACAAAATGGACTAGTATTATCTCTATCTTTCTCTTGCTCCCTTCTTTCCTCCTTCCCTCTCCCCCTCTTTCTTCCTACCTCCCTCCTTCCCTCTCCATCTTTCTTTCTCTCGCACACATAGCAACATAGAGACATTCGCACTAATGCGTGAACATCAGCAACTTTTCTGTAATTGACTGTCAGTTTTTGTAATACATTCATCTGAATGCTTTACCCTAGCTGACAGTCATGATATATCAGTCCAATTTTTTTTGTTGAAAGGCTTGTCATAGATTCTTTCTTGTGGTTAACCCCCCCCCCCCCCCCCCTATCTTTTTCATCTGCTCTTAGGTCCAAACAATTTCCGAATTTGCAACAGAGCTGGGGTTCCTTGTGGAAGAATATGCTGGTGGCAAAGGACGGTTCCCACCTATCAAGAGGCAGACAAAGAAATCCTTGTATATAGCTACTATGGAGAAAGGCCATTCCCTCATCAACAGCTTAATTGATACTGAGAGAATGTCTTCCTTGGGTCTCGTTATTGTTGATGAAGTAAGTTGTTCTTTAATTTCATTATTATGAATTTGAAATGGTTTTATCTTGATTTATGTGCAAGATTATGAAATATTGAATTTTCTGATGTTTAGGTTTCCACAGGAAAACAATGTCAGGTTGAAATTGATAGCTTTGTTTTTCTTTATTGAAATCTTTAATTTGAATTAGTATCAGATTGATCAATATTTCCTAGGAGTTTGATGAAAAATTAAAATACAGCTTTAAGAAAATTATTTTTGGACAACTCAAAATGATTTTTAAAGGTATTCTTCTTTGAATTAATGTTCTTTAGTTCGTCTTCTCTCTGAAGTTCACCTCTAAGACTCACTGAACTAGCACTTTTCACTTAAAATCATAACTTCTGTGGTCTGCTCACATGGAGCCTGAAGGCAATTACATTCTACAAGTATGTGTCCTTGGGGGCTCAGAGTTTGTCATCAAATCTTCACCATTAAAACTGACAGTTGTGCTTAGTTTTCTTACTGAGTAGTAGGTGGCCAAAAATTAAGACCAAGGAGGATTTTTTGTTCTGTTTGGTGTCTATTGCTGGTAACGATTTGTTTTGTACACACTTTATAGATAACTGAAAGTATTTCACTCATTGACAGCTTCATATGATCGGAGAAGGTGGCTCAAGAGGTGCAACACTGGAGTCAACACTGCTGAAACTCCTTAAATTCAAAGGTGATTGTTTAGTTTGTTTATTGTCAAGCACGAACATTGTAATTGCAAGCAAAATGAGCTGAGGACTCACAAATGCTTCAAAATAATTTGTAAGAATAACACTGAACTTTCAAAGCGAAAAAAAAGTCTGTCTGTCTGTCTGCCACACGCACGCACACGCGCGCGCACACACACACACACGCACACACACACATGCACACACATGCACACACACACTCACAAAGTCGCACACACATTTTGGGTCGCCAAGGCTTCTTAATTTCCATTTTTGTTTTTCAGATGTCCAGATAGTAGGGATGAGTGCCACCCTCAACAATCTGCAGGACTTGCAGGCTTTCATGAAGGCTGAGGTGTACCACAATGACTTCAGGCCGGTGAGTTCTATAGAATGGCTTTCTGTATAATAATGTTGTCCTTAAAAAGGTTTAGCGGAATGCTTTGATCTGTCTTTGTATCAGTGGAGTGCGTTACCTTCCGTTAAGTCCTCATCAAGTGTATAGTTGAGTGCTGGTTCTCTGATTTGCTATTGATTAAAGAGCGTGCTTTGCCTGAGATTAAGTAGTTGAATGTTTATCGTTCGCTCTGTGTAAAAGAACAACTCAACAAAAGTACTTCAGCATGCTTACATATACATTTATGCACTGCTGTTCACCCACTTTCCACCCTTTCCCCTCCTCTCCCCCCTCCCCCCCCCCTTCACAGACACCCACACTCATGCACACACATACAGACACACACACACACACACACACACGCACACACACACAACAAGCACACATGAAAACCTGGCCAGCTTACAATTCCAAAAATGATTGTAGGTTAGGAAGCATTTATACATTTAAAAAATGATACGCTTTGGTCTGATTAGAGACAGGAGTTAGTATTCACCTCTGTTTGAATGTTATATGTGTTATTTGACAGTGAATTGCAATTATCTCTGCTGTCAGGTTTCCCTTCAGGAGTATGTGAAGGTAGAGGACAACATTTTCCATGTTAACAACAAAGCTCTTAGCGCTGATGAGAAGCTACAACACGATAAAACAGTTACATTTCCAGTGAGTTTTTTTCTCTTTGTATTTCTAATTTTAAAAACATTCATAAAGATATTCCTCCTTATTTTATGATTTTTTTTGGGGGGGGGAAGGGGGGGGGGGGGCATTATGACACAATCTTATTTATTAATAATTTGGCGGTAATTTGGTAATTTTGTTCCACTGATGAGTGTATGTATTACTTTGGGGGAAATTTCTTTCTTTTTAAACAAATTGTCGCTGAGATCAATTCATTTTCACAGTGTGGTATTTGTACCCTTGTGAGGTTGTGTTCTCTAGGTATTCTTGCTGGTCATAGGAGCGGGGTTTGCTGCTGAAATCACTGAATCATGTTACAAAATTCTGTGAAACATTAACTTTTTCTAACCTGCAAGATTTATTGTTTGTATTTTTTAAACATTCAATAGATAATCCGTTTGTTTCTTGTTTGAGTTTTGTTTCTTTTTCCTCTTCAGTATTCTTCAGAGGTTCTCAAACAAGATCCTGACCACTTACTGGGACTTGTTCTAGAGGTGATCCCTCAACATTCCTGTCTTTTGTTCTGCCCCACTAAGAAGAATTGTGAGAACGTGGCGATGATGCTGAGCAAATTGATGTGCAACTATCACAGGTAGCAATCTTTTTCTTCCTTTTTCTATTTTTATAGCTTTGAAGGCTGAGTTATGGTCTAGATGAACATTAAAATGGAGGGAAAATAGCGTTATTAAGCATTTTGCTTTCAGGAGGTGCGAAATACTTTCAAATACAGTAAAACCTGCCCTGACGGCCACCTCTATAAGACGGCCACCTGTACAAACGGCCACTTTCCATTTTCCCCCTTGCGTTTTTCCTATATACTTTAACTGTGTAAAACGGGCACCTGTCCAACGCAGCTGCGGCCACCATATTTTAACACACAACCCCTATCACACTAAGCAATTACACCTGTCTTAGACGGCCACCTTAGTGACTCCATTACATTTTGAAATAAATTGTGCATTGACCCCTGGCGTTGTTGGCGAACCGTCAGAATTCAATCACCTGTCGTTGTTGTTAGGCAGTCCCTCCAACCGGTCATGTTGCGTAGGCCCCTCCCACTGTTGACCAATAGCTACCAATTTTCAATTGCTGGTGAGGTAAGCGTGTGATCCCTCATTGCCCATAAGCCCCGCCCAGAACTCATACACGAATCGTAAGTGAGATGAGTGGTCACTGTTCTCCGAGTGGTGGCGGCCCATGTGTGTTTGTTTTGACATGGCATTCGGTCTTCCTCGTCTAATACATTTCATTTTATTGTCACCCTTGTGCAAAATCAGCAACAAAATAAAAATTACAAACAAAATACAAACCACCACCACCACCAACAACAACAAAAACAACAATGCGGCTACTTTCGATTGGGACCTCAGATGGGAATGGTTTGTTTTCTTCATCTTGATCAGTCCTGCATAAGACGGCCACCTGTCTTATACGGCCACTTTTCTCCTTGACAAAGGGTGGCCGTCTTACACAGGTTTGATTGTACTTTAATTCAGACATTTTTTTACAGGATCTGTTGTATAGTTCCCACCACTGAGGCTTACTTCTTGTTGCAGATGGTAGCTTGTTGGACAGAAGGGTTTGAATGATTTTCCCATAGCAGTTTCATAAAACTGCACTGAACGATTTGAAATATATAAGATCAAAGGCAAACCTTTTTTTCGAACTTTGTTTGACACAACCCTTTAAGACCATATTCCTGATTTTCTGGGAATGCACAGACATTCATGTGTTCCAGATTCCTGGTTTACCGAATATCAATTCTCTTGTGAATAGTGGGCATGCATTACAAAAAAGTTGACTTATCAGCGGTAAATTCGCATTTATGTGGAATTGGCTGTTGCTAATGGAAAACTTCATTACTTAAGACTACAGTATTTTTTTAGTTTTTTTTGGGTTTATTTCACCGTGAAATGAGCCAGTGATGAGCAAAGCGCTTCAATGGAAAAGAGGGCTAGGTCTAAACTGTTTGCAAGTGCTTGATCACTTGTCTAGTAATGTAGATGACATATAGCAGAACTATGTGTGCTGTTGTAGTTTGCGGAAGATGGGAATTTAAATGGGTTTGGATCTAGGGTTGGAGGAAGCAGGTGTATTCATAACAGCTGTTATCAGTGATGTGGATGGAAATCAACAATGGGTTAATAAATAGCATACGAAGGAAGAATACTGGTTTTAGCTTGAAGGTAAACGTCTAGTAAAGTAATGCTAAGAGGTCATGTGTTGCTGTTTAAACTTGAATTCACCTTATGGTTACCCATAATATATGTGTTCTTGGGGGTTTTGCTCTGGGGCCAAGTTTTATTGGTAATTTAAAATCAAAGTTTAGGTCTGACAAGGTTACATTTTTAGTAACAGTTAAAATAGTGATTTTCAGTTGTCACTTCTCATGTTATCATTGCTGTGTTCTCATTAACCTTTTTGTATTTTCAGTCTTTTTGCTGGCTCAGCAGCTTGTTGTCTTTTAGAACAGTGACGTGTACTTAACAAAATAGTCTGAAATAAATGCCTTTATGATAACATGTATTAGAAAATAATTCTTAGTGTAAAAGCAAAAATTAAATTGAATCTTGGACTTTTTTTCTACTATTTTTAGACATCTTACGGATGTGAACAAAGTCAAAAGGAAAGAGCTTCTAGCTGAGCTTAAGCAGAATGGCAATGGCATGCTGTGCCCGGTGCTGGAGTATACGGTTCACTTTGGCATTGCCTACCACCACAGCGGCCTCACGGGGGATGAGCGGAAAGTTATCGAGGAGGCGTACGCAAATGGTGTCTTGTGTCTGCTCACCTGCACATCCACATTGGCTGCTGGGGTTAATCTGCCCGCAAAAAGGTATTTTAACTCACTTGCGACTGGGCCCTTTCACCAGTCACAAGCGTTGAAGACTGGCGTTTTTGGGGGTATTTCAATAAATCACCACAACTCTCAGAATTACCCTATTGTAATCATTTTTTGACACAGTAAAGTAACATTCAAGCTTAATCTAATACAAAAAACTAAAGTTGTCTAAGTCTAATACTTTAATTTGTATGATTTTTTTAAAAATTGGCATGAATTTGATTTTCCAAAAAATTCCCAGAGATGTGACAAGTAGAATGAAATTCACTGCAACAACAAAAATAAAAGTTCAAAGTGTTCTGGTTTGATTTGTATACATGTGTGAGTGTTTGGTGAAAATATAAAAGCTGGTCTGTGCATTGATTCAGACCCATACACTGAATTACATGAGACAGATGTACGGCACGACGTTGTGATTTCGTTGCGCGAAAAACAACACCGGTACTAGTGCTAGATCTAGCCCTAGAACTACGACTCGGGCCGTGTTCGAGTACATATCCAGGATCCTAACTATTAGACACATCATATTCTGAGACACTAGAACTAGTAAAACGCACAGAAGTATAGAAAACGGCGAAATTATGTGATTCTTGTTCATGCGACTTCTTCGACCGTTACTACGACGCGACTGTCGGATTACTATCAGCTGTATAGAAAAAAACAAAGCGCGAGTTCCGGTCTGTTCAACCCCAGTTGGGGTCACTGCCCTTCACCGTCAATAACTTAAAAACTACCGGCCCCAGAGATACGAAACGAAGTCTAAGTAGCTCAGGCTTGGCCAAACAAGGGTACGAGGTGCGTCTCGCGATCCGTGCGTGATTTGTAGAGTGAAAAAAAAATTCCAAAGTTGGTCACTAGGGCTTGTGAGACTCGTCGCGAGCGTCGCGGGGTCACGCAACTGTTGTGTGACCCGTCTGAAGTGAGTTAACTCGTCAACTGCCGATACCGACATTGCATTACAAATTGGATACCTTTTACTATGCTCTTATTGCTAGTATGTTGTGACCCTGAATTGTCTAGCGAGTACACAGCTTCATTTAAGAAGGAAAATATTTTGTTTCCATTTTTCGTTTCTCTTGCGTTTAATAATTTTCATGGCAAGTGAAGTCACAATTTTTCTTAATATATGCTAACACTTGTGTCTGTGCTTAGAAGAAAATGATTCTTTTACCATAAAATTTACCCTTTGTTGTTTTCTTTACCCTCTGTTGTAGGGTGATTCTCCGGAGTCCACACATTGGCAGCTGCTTCATTAAGTACAGTCAGTATAAGCAGATGGTGGGCCGAGCTGGACGAGCAGGTATTGACAGCTCCGGAGAAAGCATTCTCATCGTCAAAAGACAGGACAGAATGAAGGTGACTCCGTGAGCATGATGTTCTTCTAGCACGCATGCGTTCTGTATTCTGATTCAGCTTTTTGTAATGTTAGTGGTTGGAAAGTGTCACTGATAGGAGTGCCCTCTCTTTGTTCGATATTTCTTATTTCTTTCTTGTTTTTTTTCCTATTCAAAAGATCATTATTGTATTGAGTTATTTCTGTTTTAATTAATCTCATATGGATAGACTAGATTGTCATTAGGTTAGCAAAGTTTGACATTACACCCTCATATGTCACATTTTGTGAGAATTTTGATGCTTCAGCCACAAGTACCATTTATTGTTTAGAGGGAGTCCAAAATTGCCTCCATGTCTTTTGAGATCTTTTTTATTCTTTGATGTCTACATAATCATAATAATACATGACATTTATAAATGCATTTCCCTAAATTATAAAGCTCAGTGTCTGTGAGCTGGAATTGAGTATCCTTCATTTGTAGGATGAAAGTGTGTAGGTAGTCCTTTGTTGCCGAAGATGACGATGATTCCTACAGCTCATCTGTGGACGCGTATGTGGCTGTGCAATTCGATCCTGGATGAAAAATGTCTGTTGCAGTGAGGACACTGAAATGTCGTGGTTGTCTCGGTTGGCTTATGTCTTCTCTCTCTTCTCATAGTCAGCTTCTCCCTGTAGTTTGTATCGCTGTTTCTGCTGGCAATACGGGTGGCCCTGCGCCAGGTGTTCCTTTTGATGGCAGTTCTTTCGAGTTCTTTGGGGGTTACCTTCGCAAACTGGAGGTTTTCCTTTATCGTGTCTTTCAACCGCTTTTTTGGCCTCCCGAGATTTCTTTTGCCACTTGCGAGTTCACCGTACAGCAGCTGTTTGGGCATTCGGTGGTCTTCCATGTGGATGACATGGCCGACCCATCTCAGTTGGGCTTTGACGAGCATGCTTTGTGAGCTTGGTCGGTTGAGGACCTCAATGTTGATAATGCGGTCTTGCCACCGGATGCCGAGTATGCAGCGGAGAGCCCTTTGATGGAACTGCTCTAATTTGTTGATGTGCTTCCTGTAGGGTGAAAGTAACAGCCTCCTAAATGGCCTTAATTGTGTTGAAAGGAGTGTGAAACATTTTCAAAACTTACAATGCAGCAGCAGATATTTCTAAGAACAATCAATTTATCATTTTGAGCCCATTTAAAATGTGATGACTTTGAATGCAAATAACATTTGATTCTGATATATATTTCATGGTAAATTGTTGGTGTTGTGATTTGTGTAATATTACTAATTTCGTGTGTCTGTAATTAATCCACCCAGGCTAAAGACCTGTTCGCTGGACCACAAGACTTCTGCTACAGCAGTTTGGGTCATGATGATGGAACAGGTGTCCGCTCCCTTCTTCTTTCCTCCATCGGTCTAAAGGTATGCCATATATAAGAAGTCCTTCAAAGGAAAATTTTTGAAGTAAAATTTGCCTAGAAGTCTGTTCTGAGGTGTTATCTGAGTTGTGATGTGTTAACCACTTATGGATAACCACATCTTTTACCATTGTTCTGTTGTAGGGTGTTTTTATTCAACCTGTGTTCCTTGAATTCTTTAAAAAAAAATTTGATTCAAGATATGTCGCTTAATCCTTGTTGTATGAAGGAATAGTGGCCATGTTAATCTGTGCTATTAATGAATGATGATATATTGTAAACTGCAAACAGAGAACTGTGCAAGGAACACATTTTTGAAACCTACAGTCTTTTGGAGTGCAGCTTGACATGGTTAATAAAATGATATGACATTTTCAGATGGTGGACTGATTCCACCAAGGATATGCGTCCCTCAACCTTTCTCCCTCCCATTTCCATCTACACCTGAAAAAACCCCCCCCATTAAAATTACTTGGTATCCTTGGCTCTGTCTATCAAGGGGTATGCTAACAGGTTGGGGGGGGGGGGAGGCGGTGAGGTGGGGAGTGTTCACTTACATGCTGCTATGCCTGACACATTCTTGTAAACTTGTGTTATTGGATGTAAAAAATTAGCAGTTTTCCAGGAGTGGGGAGATGACTTTAAATCAAATTGATGCAGCGTGTTGTGTAAACTATATTTTTGTGTCCGAGCACTCTTGGTTTTTTAAGACAGATTTTTATTTTTAGAATGAGTTCTTAGACATGCAGGTTGTAGAGAAAAAAATTCTCGTAGCAACAGTGGGTGTAAGGGCTACTTTTTGTGAGGCAGAGACCACTGTTTTAGTATTGAGCAACTTTGATTTTAAAAGAACTCAAAAAGAACTTGTAAAAACATACATTAAAAGAATTATCCTTTTCTAGAAAATTTAACTATTTTCAGATGTAGAAATGAGGATAATTGTTTTTGAAAAAAGGAAGCACAAATGTTTTGCCCTCTTGCATGTATTCTGGCCTATTTATCTACAGCAGATTAGTGAGACTGATTTTACTGGTGTTGTATGGACATTGCTATGCTCTGTACTATGGCTAAGTATGTACTATCAAATGACAAAGTGATAACTTAAAATTAATGTCAGGCACTAAAAGAAACGTCTTCAAATACAGAACAATTGAGTATTGAATCTAGTTTAGCCTTAATATTTCTAGAGGAGGTGTCTGGTAAAGACTAGATTCTTTAAACACTTATCATGTTCATTATTTATTTGTATCATGAACATAGACAACTGTTATATGTTTCTTCCTATTTCCTTTTCAGCTGATCACTGACACAAAGTCAGCATTTGACCTGGTGAAAAGTTCCTTGTTAAACATTCAAGCTGAGGAGCTGGGAGTTGATGTGGAAGCTCTGACCAGGGATGCACTCAAGTGTCTTCGGGATGAGAACCTGATCTTGGAGAGTGGAAATGATTCGGATGAGTCAGAGAGCTCTAGTCATTTGCAAGTGACTTCCCTGGGAAAAGCCACATTTAAAGGTAATATTCACTAGTGTGAGATAACGCAACATTGGATTTCAGGACAAAAAGTGAGCGCAAGATGATTTTGAATGTCCATGTGTCAGCGCTGGATTTTTTTCTCCTCAAAATAGGAGTGTGCTGGATCATATTTGTCAATTCTTGAAGTTGCACAGGCATTCCTGGAAAGAGATGTAAGCATGGTTTGATGTAAGATTGAGGGCTCCTTAGACTTCGTTTGTAAGTGTATGCTTCTTTTTGCCTGACCATCGGGGTTGACACATGGTACATGTAAGCTATGACAGTGGGTAATGTGGGCTTTTTTCTCTGGATCTTCACACTTGTGGTCACTAGATCGATGGGGTTGAATGTGTAATATTAGTAATATTGATGAATGAAGATGTTAAATTTGACTTCTTGTGTGTGGATCAGTTGGTTCACCAATTCCAGCTGTGTTCACAAAACTGATTTAATCTCCGAACTCAAAAACTACAGACACTGTACAATAAAAATGATAAACAGTAGGCCTACCTTGGGAAATGACATGTGACAGCAGGCTTAGGAAAAAAACTGTAATGAAATTAAGTTGGTTACATCATCTTCAAACTTACTGTTCACTCCCCCCTGAAATCTTGCTGGGGGGGGGGGAAAGAAAAAAAATGAAGAGGGAGAAGAAAAGCTCACCTTTGTTTTTCACTTTTAGGAGCAGTGAATCACACCTACAGTAGTCAGCTGTACAATGATCTGAAGCAAGCGGAGGAATCCCTCAATCTGTCCACACACTTACACCTGCTCTATCTGGTCACTCCTTATGACGCTGCTCGGGATGTCAGCCCAGACTGGAACATCTATTTGAATCAGGTGAGGCTGGCCTTTGCATTGTGTTTACTATAGTTTGGGATTACAAGAGGCACATGTTTTACCCAGAGCTGACCGAATGTGGTTCCTGTACTTCATAACTCAGTAGCAACCTTTTCTTTTTTTTCTTTTTTGTTATTTTTGTGTGGAATATTTGCACCATTAATCAAGTGGGGTTAAAAGGCAGTGAACTTCGCCACACCAATGCCCTTTGACTGTGATGTCATAGTTGAGTTAATTAAACTTCATGCCCCATGTCATTTAGTTATGCTGGTTATATAAGAAAACAAACAAGGGTCATGGTCTGAGTATGGGTGAGAACAGGCTGTGTAGGGCTGCTCCCTGATTCTTGTGGAGTTAGTGGGTGATGCGGCTCTGAAGTTGTCATTTCCTTAGTCTGACAGTGAAGAATCTGACATCTATGCATCCACTCACATAAGCTTAGAGGGAGGGTGAGAGAGAGAGGGACAGGGAGAGTGAGAGAGAGAGAGAGAATCTTACTTTCTGATTAAAAAATCAGTGAGGGGTGTATTTTGTTTTCATATTCGCTTCTTCAACTTTCATGTAATTAATTATATTCTTTAAAAAAAACCATGAAAAATATTGACCTCAGACTCAGATTGTTTTTTATAATTGGGTTTTTCTTTTTGTACTTTTTCTCCCCTCTGTATCTGACTATGGATTAGGGTGTGTATGTGTGTGGTCCCTGACTTGGGCATTGGGTATCTTCAGCAGCTCCTTCTTGCCCCTGAGTTTTGTGTCCTGATCTGTGTATTCTGGCCAGACTAATGATCTCATAGTTTTGTGTGGAGGGAGCAGAAGCGCAAACGAATCCCAGGTCCTGTTTTTGTAGAATGTCTAGCATATTTGAGACCTTGAGAGTGCTGAGTTGGTGGTTTTCTGGTCTGAGTATGAACAGTGAGGTCTGCAGTCAAGGGTGGATATGACTGCAATCTTGTGTCCACTCGTCCAGAAAGGTTCTCTTTATGTTGTAATTTGTTACGGTAGAATGCTGTAGCAACACTTTGGGATTTATGTGTGCTACCTTCCTTCTCTTGAAGTAAAGAAGCTAAAAGTCAAAATCCTTGTGTGGCTTATTTCATGTTGTTGGGTCAGTCTCTCCACGGGAGCCTTGCCTTGTGGGTGTGATAGCACAAATGGTTCTCACTGTTTGCAGTTAAGATTTTGATTTGTTTTGCAATTAAGTTAGTGGGTTCATCTGAAAGAAATTTAGTTTTCTGCTAATTAGGATTACTGGTAACATTAAACATGTGTTTAAGAACGATTTTGGTTAATTTGTAAATTGCCAGTTTTGCAGAAAATTGCGCTAATATGCTGTTTCTTTTGTTTTCTCATTTCACTCGCAATAGTTGTTTTTTTTTGTGTGTTTTTATTTTGTCAAGTTCTGTAAGCTGTCTGAGATGGAATTGAAAGCTGCAGCAGCTGTTGGGGTACCAGAGAGCTACATCAACTTGAAAGCTTCTGGAAGGCGGCCCAGAAAGGTGAGCGTTATAGCACGAGTATAATGCTGCTAGTTGATAACCTGAAGTATGTAACGTGGCCTTTTTATCACAATTTTGAAGAGGGCATGAAGCTTGTAGTACCGGTATTCTTCCAAGGAATGATGCCTAATCTGACCCTTCCATTTATATATATGGAAAGGTTTCCCGAGAATAGCGTTTAGCCAGATCTCAGGGATATTGTTCATTCTGGAGTTTTATTTAAAAAAACAGAAATTCAGTTTCGTAAAATGTGCAGGAGAGCCAAAAAACCCACATCTTTGCTGCTCAACAACCAGTTGCACTGAATATCTTCAAAACACTTTTCCTGCCCTATTTATTAAGATATCAATACCGGACTAAGACAGAAATGTGTGCTTTAAACTATTAGGCAGAATCAATGACTCTATTTCCTCCAAAACTGGATATATTTTCTTTTAGCATTTAAACTCCAGTATTATCTCGAAATCTCAAAAAATAAAAAAACATTCACGAACGTCAGCTAAGTCAGGAATTCAGCTGACTCTCCGTAACTGCTTTGTTTGGATTTTCCTTCTCTAGAAAGTGAGTGAGTTGACAGTCAAGAGGTTTTACCTGACTCTGATCCTGTGGGATCTGTGGAACCAGCGTTCCGTCTGGGACGTCGCTGACAGATTCTCTCTGCCTCGGGGATATGTGCAGAACCTCCTGGCTCAAGCTGCAGCTTTTGCTTCATGTGTGTTCCACTTTTGTCAGGTGAGTGAGCACAGCCAACACGCAGGATGGGTGTAATTATTCTGTTGATCCATGTTTATTGTTCCTGCTCTGCTAACTCTTTGTGATAGGTATTTGGAAAAAAAGTTTTGCTTAATAATCCACATTAGACATGTAGGCCCTATCTCGGTGCTAGGAAGTGTTCTCAATGGCATCAGGCACCCGGAAGTGAGTGGGTACCCTGATGCTTTTTTAGGTATTATACATGGTCAGTTTGACCAGTGTTTTTGTAGCTCTTACTTTTTCGTGCAGCTCATTTAGTTGATGATTCTATTTCTTTTCTTCTTTTCTTTCTTTTTACTTTTTCATACTCTGTTGCCGTAAAATGTCAAGGAGAGATGCAGTTTGCTATGGCAGGCCAGCTCTGCAGCTCTCTCAATTGGGATTTTATAATTTGTCAGGGTTTCCTTGACTCCCTAAATCCACTTTTTGCCTGGCCTTCCTCTTCCTATATAACCTGGGTACTTGGTGTTGTAGTTATAGGCTCTCGAGGCTGGCTGGCTAGGTGATATTTGTAACAGGTGGCCAAACCATTTTATTCTGTTTTTCTATGAAATGCAGGCAGGACTCGGTGCCAACAGCTGCTCTTACTTCTTCATTTCTCTACCTGTTTCGTCTTGTGATGTTTAGGGTTTTGAGGAATTTCGTCTAGCATGCAGTCATTTTGCTTTCATGAGTTTTACTTAATGTCCAGGTCTGGCTCTGGTAGTAGTGGTAGCATAATGTTGGTACAGTGGAGTCCACTTATAATGAGTCCTGAAGTAACGAGAAGTCTTTTATAAAGACATAATTCTAAAACCCTGTTTTTTTCCTTCTTTATCTTTGTAAATAAAATACTGCTATAGCGCAGTCAGATAAACGCGCGAGTTGGTTATAGCGGAATATTGCTGCTGCTGTGCACACCGCATAGGCCATTTATACATGAAAACCTCGCCAGTTGAGAAACTTGTTGGTGATCAAACGAAACAGAATGGCCCATGTGTGCCAACGATGAAGGCCGGAGCAAATGAGTGGGGAGGGTGTAGCACGCGCAGACAAGCCGTTGTGAAGCAGAACGCATTGCCTGATAGTGATAGGCCAGCCTAGTCTAGATTATCTAGGCCTATCATGCCACTTCTCCAATGCGGGGATGAAGAGGTCACAGTGCTGTGATGGATCATGGAGCAAATGTGTGGCGTGCGCAACCAGATGCGAGAACGCATCACAGGGTGTGGTGGGGTGGGGGACAACACACAGGGCGACTTAGCCTAGAAAACTTTCTTTTTGATAGCCAACGCCGAGCGGTCAACATCGCTAACGCTAGACAAGGAAACCTGATTCAATTTTTTGATCAAGTAAGACCTAGAGGTCATGTTGAACAAAGCCATCATCAGAGGAGATAACAAAAAGAAATAAACAGAACAACAAACTCATAGATTAGGCCAACTTTATTATTTCCTTTGAATTTATTACTGGATCCCTTACAACGAGAATCCTGCTATAACGGACATTTCGTACCGGTCCCCTCCCTCTCGTTATAACAGGATTCCACTATATGGAAGTGACAAGCTGTCTCTTTGTCTATGGAGATGTTTGGATGAGATAGAAGGGGTGCGAGCTAGTAGCTGACAGCGTTGCCTTTTCGAGTTCGCATTTCTATTTCTGTGTCTATGGACCCGTTTTGAGAAAAAGTGCTACCAAGATATATTTAAACTTAAACTCCTTCACCTTTTTCAATTGTTTATCGGTACTATTGACATGGATGTTCAGGGGACTATGGTTTCAACTCACTTTCATAACTTCTGTTTTTAAAGTGCTTATTTTTGTGCCAAATTTCTCGAAACTGTTGTTCTGTTCGGTAGTGTGGTTTTGGGGTTTTTGTTAGTTTGGATGAATAAGACATTGGTCGTCTGCAAAAAGAAGTTCCATTAGGCTTTCTGGGCTTTGGTTTGCATTTTGCTTTATTGTGTCCTTAAAGATTATAAAAAGGAGGGGAGGTAAAATGCATCCTTGTTGGACTTCAGATCTTACTTTGAACCAGTCTGCATTGCCTTCTATTTCTTTTCTTATATATTTATTATGATCTGTCATCTTGCCGTTTTTGTTGGACTAAATAATTGTGGTTAGTGACGACTTTATTCTTTTGTGTCCCTTAGCTCTTGTTTATTTTGTCAATTTCCTTCGAATCAAACTGTTCTGTCTTTCTGTTGGTTTCCCGCAAACCGTTCTGCCGTTCCATCAGCTTCCCTCAAACGGTTGTCTGTACTTTCCATTCATTGCATTTATTTCCTTCTAACCATTCTGTCTTTCTTTGGGTTTCCCTTAATAAACTGTGCTGTCTTTCCGTCAGTTTCCCTAAACTAAAACTGCTCCATCTATTCCCCCCCCCCCTCCCTTTCAGGAGCTGGAGGAGTTCTGGGCATATCAGGATCTCATGCAGAACTTTGTGAAAAGACTTGGCTACTGTGTCACAACAGAGCTGGTGCCTCTCATGGAAGTTCCTGGAGTGAAACTGGTAAGGGATATTATAGTTGCGACGTGGATGCAGGACAAAAAAAACAAGGCAGTGTTGGTGTTCCTTTTTAAGAGAATAATATCCATACAATTTTTGATTACATCACTCAATCAATAATTCAAGATCAAGATTAGACATTATCTTTGGATGTTTGGTTCATGACGCAACGGCTGGAGAGAGCAGTCTGGGTTTGTCCAAGCCATGGCACATAGTTCACTTTAGATTTCTAGAACTGACTAGATAACAAGCTAAGAGAAATATTTACATCATGTACTGAAACTGAGGGGATAAACTGGCTCTTTTAAGATAATATGATGACTTTGACATTTCAAGTTTTTTGCTCTGAAGTGATTGTATGTTATATAACACTGTCCGTTGATTTGAGTAATTTTTGAATGAAAGTGTTTTAAACTTTTACTATTCCATATGCCTTCATTCGTGTGTCCATATGATTCTCTGAAAAATAGTCTTTATGAAAGTGTATTGAAAGAGGCAATGGCTTACCATATTTTGTTTGCTTTGATTCAGGCAAGGGCCAAACAGTTGTTTGCTGCTGGATACAAGACGGTGTCACAGCTGTCTTTTGCTGAACCAACGGATTTGACAAAGCATATCGAGCATTTGAGCTTACGTGCGGCCAGACAGTTGATATGTGCAGCCAAGGTAGAATGCTTTTGACTTCAACATATAATACAGTGATTATTATCTAACTGTATAAATTTTCATTTTTGTAATTTGTGTACTTTAAAGCGGTTTTTGTGCTTCTGGGATAGAGATACAGGGACAGTAAATCTATTCGAAATAGACTTGTTCTTTCCAATTTGAACTTGATAAATTTATATTTATTGAAGAATAATTAATTGATTGTAAATGTTCTTGGCCCCATTTTAATTAACAATTTAATTAACTTAGCTGGAGGCTTCAAGGCCAATCCTGGATGTGCAAGACGCTTTCCATTTAAAAAATGGAGATACTGGCTGAAATATCTAAATTTTAGTTTTAAGTGTGAATCAAACTCTTTTGTTTAAGTTAAAAGCCTTGACATTACACCATTGATGCTGTCCTGATATTTGCAGAAATATATATCTTTGGGAGAATAGTTTTCAAACTGAACTTATTTTCTTTGCTGTCCCCACTCGTTGTAAGGGAACACAACAGACTAATAGGAAATATAGAAGGCATACAATGCCTAACAAACTTTCAAATACTCAGGTTGCTCTGGGAATCCAGCAAGGTTTTTCTGTTTATGGCATGCCCCCATAAATAGACCTACATATTTTTATTTCTTTGACTTCTTCTTACGTAACTTAAATGATGTTGTGCAAAATACTTTTTGATATTGATTGACCATTGATGGTTCACAGTACTCAAAGTCAAACACCGAATTATCTGGGCCTTGTTCTCTATTATCTAAAACTTAATTTTTTTAAAACTTCAATACTTCAGGGTGCTAGTCTGATACCAATTTGTTTCCATTATGCAAATGTTGTGTGAGCCACTGGCCAGCATATTAAAGGAACGATACAATAATATGAGGTCATTTCAATGTAACAGTGAAAGTGAAAGAGAAGGGCTGTCTGTGTTTATTAACTCACCCTCTTCTTTTTTCCTTCTTTTCTCAGAATGTTTTAGAAGAAAAAACTGCTGTGCTGTTGGAGGAAGTGGAGAATTTGGTGGCTGTACCAGGTGGAACATTGAATACTGGATCCACAGAAAAACCAATTTAAGACTGACCTTTGTAATGAGTCAAAGGCCCAAATGTTCGTTTCTGCATCAGTACAGTAATCTCCGCCTAAACGCACGGTGCTCGGGAGAGCTCCTTAGCATGTGTTTACATGAACCTTTGCAAAGGGAGGAATTGACGCAGTCATCTCATTGCCTTGATATTCTAGTGACCCCCCTTAGGGGTGGGGGTCATTTTGGGCCGATCATGTGACGACACGTGACTGTTTTGTGAAGGATTCCCCAACTGCGGTTAAGAATACAAATCATTGAATGGGTGGGGTGGGGAAAAGACAGACTTAATGTAGGTACCAGAAACTAATTTTCAAAGTAGTTGTATGCCAAATTTATCAGTTCCATTTGAAAGGTCTATATCCACTGAGCATTTTGGTACCATTCTTTAACCTCTCAGTCAATTTTAAAGAAAATGGTAGTTGTTTAAAATTTGATCAAATTTGTTAAAGTCAGTCACTGGCTGCAACCCCATGTTTGACAGACAATAAAAGAGTACCAAGAGCACTAAACATCTCCACATTAACAGAGTACAATCACTATAACAAATATATGGAGCCTAATTTTTTTCAAGACTGTGAGATCATTACAAATCAGTACTTTATCGCCTCAAACACGATGATCTGTCGTTATTTCGACAAAAACACAGAGCGTTGACCCGCTGGCGCCGCACCGGGCCCCGCGGCGAGCGAGTCGGCTCTATACTGTAGTGTACCCCGCGTGCGGGGTCACATGCTTTCTGAGTCTCGCGGAAGGATTGATGAAAAATAATTCCAAGCTGATTACTTTATTCTAATAGGAAATAAGCTGATCTTTTATTAGATGTATTTTTTAAGCCAGTATTTTACATATTATGGGTAAAAAATGATCTTTAAACATTTTGACAGTATTTTTTTAAGCTTTCTATTTAGACCCCAAAGGCAAAACACATACCACGGGAAAGCCGGTGTAAAGCTCTACAGTTCTCCGCCAATGAAAAGACGGTATTTAATCATTCCTCGTTCCGCGAAGCATTTGAATGCACCCGTGTCAATTTTTCAACTGGCTGACCACGCATTCCGACCGCGAGGGGCTTCGCTTTCGTCGGCGATTCTCCAGCTCCTACTAATCGGACATAAAATACAACTTGCACCATTGTAACGAGGAAAAGCTGAACTTTTACAAGGTGTACGACATTTGGTGTTTTGTAGCGAAAGAGCAAAGAAATAGCGATCGGAATTACCCCGATTTCACCGATACCACGAGGTCGGAAGGCCGCGAGTGCCCGCGAGGCCGTGTTTACGCTACCTACTTAATGCAATGATATGCACCATAAAATGTCGGGAACAGATAGCCGTAAAGGAAATTGTTGGTCATAATCACAGAGACGACGGCCCAGCCTCGTGGCTATCCTAGCGACCACCCCCGACTGTAAATTCATTGACGATCATTCACGCGTGTTGTGCATCATAGGCTTAGGTCTAACTAAGCATTACATGCAGTCACCCAAACGCCAGTCTGAAACCTTCTCTCATAGAAATGCATTTCCAGTGACCAATCAAATAACATTTCAGTCCACCAACCCCCCCAACATTTCACGGACCAGTCCTAGACCTGTGTGTCTGTGGAAAGTTGGGTGTGAAAACGCTATCCATCGCTCTCTTTGTTCGGCGTGAGGGGCAGTCTCACCAAATATCCGGTTTTCTAGGCTTGTCTTATGCAAGCTGTGCAGATTATAGTGAAAAATTTGCTTTGTCAAGCTTTACCTGTCGGTGTGTTTCGCAGATCGGAGGGTGTTTAGAGGGAGTGACCATGCATTTGTACGTAAAAATTATGTAGTAAAAAATCTGCCAGATGACGAAAACGTGCGTTTGAGCTGAGCGTGCTTTTGTATGGTGTGCATTTAGGCGGAGACTACTGTATAGTAATGCCGTATGCATTAGATCATGCTTTATGTATTTATGTTCAAGTAAACAGAAATACCAGTGTAAAAATAATTTATTTGCCTGTACAGAATGGAAAAGGTATCAGTTTGTGTTTTAGCGAGCAATTGTTTTCTCAATGTTGACCTCATGTAAATAAAACCTTCCTCCATCTATTCATGGTCATCATACTTCTGTACTATTAGCTTTTATTTTCAGTTTTGGTTTTGAGCCTTTATATTTTTTAAGGCAAGTCATAATGTTCCACCTTCTGATCTTCAAGAGGCACAGAGTCATTTGAAGCACACTTTTTCTCGTTTTGAATCATCCAAGTTTTTGGCTTGAGCCTGAGCTTTCTAACAATATTTTCACAACTGTGCCTGCTTTGGGATTTCCTTTTGAAAAACTCAAATGAGGGCGTGTTCTTTGAGTTTTGGTGTGTGTATAAACACTAAAATTATGCCTCAAGAAAGTTAAGTACTGAAGTAGGGTGCTTGTTTCTCATGGAACATTTTGGTAGAGACAGGCTCATCAGCTGGTGGCTCTGTCAACAATTTTCATGAATCCTTAGGGCCCTACATATGTGCGTTCCGACCGGGTCGTTTTAACCTGAGTGGAAACTGGCGTTCGAAACGCCGTGCAAGACCGCCATTCGACGGGTAGGCACGTCATCCACATCATGCATGGTTTAACCGCAGCAAGTGTACTGACAATGACGATTTGAATACAATTTATGGGCTGCTCATGGGGAAGAATTTTGTTTTCTTTTTAATTATTGAAAAAACCCCCCACAAATTCTGTTTGGATCTTGCCTTAAAAATGGGTAGCTCGTTCTAAAAATGTAATCAGATTTTATGAGCGGTAAATTATTTTGAAGATATTGGCAGTTACAAGATAAGCCGGCTACCGCTAAGCCCACGACGTCACACAAGGGCTGTCGTCGACCAGGTTTGCCTTTCCATTCCGAATTGGCAGTTTGGAACGTATAATGTGTAGGGGGCCTTACAAGTTAACAAATCTAGTTTGCATAAGCAAAGAGTAAGATGTCTTTGAAAACGGCACTTGGACATCCCAGGTCTAGGGACACAATCAGTTGCACTGAAGGTTCTTCAACCAACAGTCGACGGGTGACTTGCAAGAAAACACAAACAGGACAACGGCTCTTTTGTGTCAGAGTTATATTTACAAAGATCAAAAAAGAAAAAAAAAAAAAGCATCGCGTAGCAAACAGCACATGATAATAGCACACAACCAAACAAATGTTCAGGTTTTCTTTCTCTAGGGACAAGTCAGATTGTTACAAGTTACATACACACAGAAAAGTACAATGCTTTTCTCATGTGGAGAACAGCAGAGTGACAAGATTATATGATGTAGACGTTGGATCTACATACAGACAAAAGTACACCAAACCACATTGGTTTCACAATTACTGAACGATGAACACAGAACTGTTTGGTCATTGACTAATGTCATGTGCACATTTGAAAAGGAAACACATAATTAAGCAGTCTAGAAAATATGGAAAACATCCAACCAGGTGTGATAATTTGGAAAAAAAAAAGACCCCCCCCACCCCCCAAAAAAAATCGGTAATAAATTATAAAAGCCACATAGATCTAATACAGCATCACTTTTGGAGTATCTGATGACCCTTCAACATGTGGCATTATTCTTAAAATTTGCTGAAATCTTAAGCTAGCCTTATCAGGGGTTCCATTATTTTCAGAATTGTGGGACACTAACACCAGGAACAATGGAAGACGTACAGAATTTCCATCACCAAATGCATCTATGTTTCAGGACAAAAAGAAACCGAGTAAACAATGACTACAGCGCAAAAGAGCATTATTATATATATTGCACCAGGGGAAATGTATGGTCTTCACACCTGTGATGAGGAGCTACTTATTATAAGAAGAAGAATAACAATAAGGGAGAAAGTTATGCACCATACCCAAGGAACATTAAAGGTGGACCCATATTTTTTTTCAACTCTTCTGCACCTACCAACAGCAGAACCTACGCAATATATTCTAAGAACCAGTGTCACAACGTAATATGGACGACCGTCTTGGATTTTACTGATAAAATGTCTTTGGAAGTGAAAGGAATACATTCTATACTTTCATCTTTGTCCTTGGGGCCAACAGAACTGGCACTTCCAAATTCAATTTTCTCCAATTGACCCCCCCCCCCAATGTAAGTGTTCTATGCTCACATCAACACAATGTAGAGGTGTAGAGGTGGGCTGCTTCAAAACCTGCCTGCCTGTCGGGGGAAAAAATGTGCCGAGATGGATAGGCCTACATTCTCAAAGAGAGGCAGCAGTACTGGTGCTAAACAATATATCGTCCAGTCAAGAGAACCGAACTTTTACTTTTTATACTGTTTAGCAAGGAAGTTAAGATGTCTTCTAGTCATTTCACAGCAGACGTTAGTCCTGTGTTTCAACCATGAAGAGAACCAGCAAATATTTAAGCTTGTTTAAACTTTGCAGCCTTTCCTCTTTGGATAGAATAAGGTCATCAATGATCACACACATGCCCAATTTGTTTCTACGCTATCAAAAAGACCGTAAGTTTATGTTTGCATTGGCTGATGTGTGATGAATGGAGAACAGCAACATCTTAAATCAATTATTCAGAGAATAATTTTTTTTCAAGGTCTCTATATTCCTTGTGTCCACCTGTGATCATTTACTCGAGTAGCTGAAGCACACTCCAGTCAAGCAAACCATTGACGCGTTGGGGGAAAAACCTGACCCTCGCATACAACTCACAACAAGCACCAAACAAATCACTCTCTTTCATAATCTTTAAGGGACTTAATAAAATCATAGGGCCATAGGGTCATACATTTCTGTCTTTGTTTACAGTTTGTATTTCACCCCCACACACACAGCAGAAATTCATAATGAAAAGTTTGCGGCAACGAGTACACAAAACAACACATTGCAATGATATTGTAACCTTGATTGGGGAAATGGCAAGCACTTTACAAAGAAATATGTCACAAAACTCGCGATTCTTAAACAATAAAAAAAAAGGGGAGACAAATTGAACAGTGATAAAGAAAAAGGCAGTAAAAAGGTCAAGGTTTAAATCACACACAAGCATACCCGCACAGTTTTGCCAATGAGAACTCAAATCTGAAAACAAAACTTACATTCTCACGGAACACTGAGGTTATGGTACTGCTAAAGAGAAAAGTAAAAGAAACAAACTTTGTGTCAACCCTATCACCAGTTAAGTTCACTTTCCCTCCTGACTACGCAAGTCTACAGAAATTTAAATCATACAGGAGGCAAGGCTAGAGTTTTAAAACTGAACTGAAAACAACCCCAAAGAGAAATGGGGCATAAATGTCGATTGGGTACATTTATATATAAGTGGCAACAACATTCCCGTATTCCTATTGGATTGATAAACATACATGAGTATTCCAAGCGATAAGCTAAAATATAGTTTACCAATGTTCCAAGAAAACAATGGCTTAAAAAAGCAGTCCCAAGAGCTTCACCATCTCCCCATGTAATTCAAGGAATTGTAAATTATGAACACTTTGCATGAACATGAACGCTCATTGTGAAAGTGTTCAGAGCAACAGGCTTACTACTCGTCGAAATTCGAAAAATTGTTGTTTTTTCCCCCCACCCCCACCACTTCAACTCCCTTTTATTTTATTCATCCATGCTTTAAAAACCATCACAACACATATCTGTGCAACATAACTAGAAAGCAATCTCTTGCTTCAATTCCAATTTCAACAATATAAAGCAGATGTCTCTCAGGAAACGCTTCATAACAACAAGCGTGTTACGTGTATTTGGAGTATCCTTCAAAGCTAACAGTTGACTCTAAACAAACTTCAGATGCATTATAATTTATTCCAATCATCATCTTGCACTGGAAAGGACAGGTCATCAGAACGTATAGTAGCATATAAAACCCAAATACAAATAGACCCTGCTAACATATTAATTCGATTTATAAGCAAAAAAACTCAGTCACAGAAACCAGCGCTAGGCCTAGAGCCCTGCTTCTTGGCACGACAGGCACTTAAAAATACACATGAACACTCATTGTATTAAGAAACTCTTTGAAGATTAAAAACGTTATTTTGCTAAATTCTCAAAGATTCAAACTTTCTTTTAGAATATCCTCTACTTATAAGCCTTAATGTCTTTGATGGAACAAACCAAAAAAATAAACAATATCATTAAAAAACAACAACAAATAACACTTAACACTCTGCAATTTTGGCACCAGAACTAAAGCATTTAAGAGGATGATTATAATATTAAACGTCCCCTTTCACAAGGTCTTACAGGGGCTGATCATTAAGACCATACTTCTAATGAATTTATCTGCCCACCAAAGCTCTTTTCCATCCCTCAACTTCTACAAAAAGAATTGGACACATAAATTCTTCCATTTCACTCTCAACTCAATCAAAAGAGAATAAGTACAACGAAATGGAAAATGAAAGCACACAAAAATATCTTGATTTCTGAATTAATCTTCAAAAACAGAAACAAGTTAAGAATACCAGTGAATTCGTGATAAGTTAGCTTTCTCCCACTGGCAATGGGCAAATCAGACAGGTTTTATATGATTGACATCATTGTATCCACAGCCGACTAAAAACAACTATCAACAGGTTATGAGAATGTTTCAGAACATTGCTTAAAATTCTTTCCGTAAAGCACAATAAATGATATCCTATGCGATGAAAACTTGGGACAAAAAAAACAAAAACAAAACAACAACCAGGGTTCACACAACAAGGCATGATTAATGAGCATTTTTCTGCTCAACTGAAGAAGAGTATCTTAGAAATAAACAATTCTAACTTCCTGAAAAAAGTTTGTGCATCCTATGCAACTAACTTTTCACAGTAGGTGAGGCCGCAAAAAAGTGCCATAATGTTTGAAAATAAGGTCTGGAAACAAGCTGACATCTAAAAATCCAGAACCTCTGACATTTTACAACAATAAACTTTCTTAACTTTCATTCCAAGTGCTTCTGAGCCTAGTTCTGCTGACAACGCCACACAGAACATATGCACAAAGTGAGGAGCAGTGCTCACCTGCTCACGTGGAAATACGGGTCATCACAAATAATTTTGCAATTTTTTCCCCCCAAAAAGCAAAATTTATGGCTAGCTACATTTTACATTAAAATTCAAACCACAAAAAATACACCCTTGATAGGAAAAGTTCACATAGAACTGGGCTTGAGTAATACACAGAACAAATGTGAATCACCATAACAATTATTTAAGGTGTACTTCACTGATTTAAGTCTATTTCAGGGATTTTTTTGGTTTTTGGTTTTTTACTTCAAGTTTGTTCATTTATCAAAATACCCCTTAGAAGAATTCCAACTATGTTAAAGCTGCATACAAAATTTCGAACAAAACTGCAAATTAATTTCAATGCACCAAAAAACACAGTTGTTGCTACAGATTAAGATAAATTAATTTTCATCATGTACCAAATTGTTACAAAGGACTCATTTTTCACAGATATGCACAGAGTTGGAATTCATCAGGGTTTTCTTTAGGACACCCGGTTGCTTCGTACTTCATATCCCTCTATGAAGAGATTGATTACAAATGACAAAACTAAAAGCTACACTGACTAGAGGCTAAAACGTTTTTCTATGAATGGCCTTCACTCCTTCCTCGTGATATTCTCGTTTTGAAACCCACATCTTTCTGAAAGTGTCCAGGGATGCCAGGATGGAACCTCTGCAAATGAAAGAAGAAGAACAAAAGTAAGCCATAACTGAAGTTATTGTGGAAACACACTGAATTTTTACATTCATACATAACATATCATCGCCAAGCTGTTCAACTCTTTTAAGCCCTGAAAGCAATGCTTTTTTTTTCTGAAAAAAAAGGTACAAATTGAATCTTACCTAATACATATTTTCTTGCCTTCTTTCCACTTTTAGAAGTTGAAATTTAACCAAATATGATCTCATGGGACAGCAAACAATACCACAGATTAAGAACTTGCAATAAAACTTTTCCCCCCTAAATTGTTTGGTTCAGTACAGTAGTCTCCGCCTAAACGCACGGTGCTCAGGAGGGCTCTTCAGCGTGTGTTTATACGGAGCGTGCGTTTACATGAACCTTTGCAAAGGGAGGAAGGGACGCCGTCATTTCATTGCCTTGATATTCAAGTGACCTCCCTTTGGGGTGAGGGTCAATTTTTGCCGATATGTGACGACACGTGACTGTTTTGTGAAGGATTCCTTGACTGCGGTTATGACTACAAAGGCGTTGAATTGGGGGGAGGGGGGTAGACAGACAGCCTCAATGTAAATTAATGTAATGAATATGCACTATAAAACGCCGGCAACAGTTAAGAGGAAAATGTTGGAGATAGTCATAGAGACAACGGCGCGGCCACGTGGCTTTCCAAGCGACCACCCCCTGACCGTAAATTCACGGACGACATCAGAATCATAGATCTCTACATTCAGAGAAACATTTCTCTTGTGATTCGTTGAACAAGTACGTTATAAGAATATATATAAGTTCTTCGAGCGCAACTGATTAGGCTTACTTGGCTAATCTTAAACCCTATTGAGGCCTATCTAGTGTTTTACTGCATTCACGCGTGTTGCGCATCAGGCCTAGGTCTAACTAAACATTACACGCAGTCCCCCAAACACCAGTCAGAAACCTTCTCTCAAAGATGTATTTCCAGTGACTAATCGAAAAACAGTTCAGTCCCCCAACCGCCCCCCCCCCCCCTCCCCGACCAGCCCTAGGCCGAGAACCAGACCTATGTGTCTGTGGAAAGTTGGGTGTGAAAACGTTGTCTATCACTCTCTTTGTTTCGCGTGAGGGGCACTCTCACCCGGTTTTCTTGGCTTGTCTATGCAAGCTGTGCAGGTTGTAGTGAAAATTTCCCCTTGTCAAGCTTAACTAACCTGTCAGCGTGTTTCGCGGATCGGAGCGTGCATTTAGAGGGAGTGACTGTGTGTTTGTACGTCTAAATTATATAGTAAAAAACCCGTCAGATGACGAAAGCGTGCGTTTAGGCGGAGCCTGCTTTTGTATGGCGTGCGTTTAGGCGGAGACTACTGTACATCTAAACAGCTGGCCACTGATACCTCTATACAAAAACAGTGTTCCTGCAAGACCAAATATGAAGCAAAAACTGTCACTTTGTAAACAGAAATGTTCTTTTCTTAAATCAAAAATGTACTTCGAATGTGCTCTCTTAGACTGAAAGTGTGCAAAAATAAATATAAAAAGATGTCCAAACATTTGAAATTGATTTCTATCGAAGTTAATGCAAGATTAATGTGCCACTCACCCAATCCAAGTTGAGTACAATCTCTCTTGGGGAGCAGATATCTGAAAACATAAAAATAATACAAACTACATGACAAATCATTTTAGTCCTGTTCATCTTAATACTCTAAACCTTTATCCAATTTTCATCTTTGCTTTTTTGGGGCTAGTGAGCCATTTGAGCTTTCAAAAATTCACCAAAGCAGGAAGAGAATTCCCTGTTTCAGTTAACTCACTTCAGACGGGCCACACAACAGTTGCGTGACCCCCGCCGCGACGCTCGCGACGGGTCTCACAAGCCCTGCGTGACCAACTTTGGAATTTTTTTTCCGCTCTACAAATCACGCACGGATCGCGAGACCCGCCTCGTACCCTTGTTTGGCCAAGCCTGAGCTACTTAGACTTCGTTTCCTATCTCTGGGGCCGGTAGTTTTTAAGTTATTGAAGGTGAGGGACAGTGACTCCAACTGGGGTTGAACAGACCGGAACTCGCGCTTTGTTTTTTTCTATACAGCTCATAGTAATCCGACAGTCGCGTCGTAGTAACGGTCGAAGAAGTCGCATGAACAAGAATCACATAATTTCGCCGTTTTCTATACTTCTGTACGTTTTACTAGTTCTAGTGTCTCAGAATATGATGTGTCTAATAGTTAGGATCCTGGATATGTACCCGAACACGGCCCGAGTCGTAGTTCTAGGGCTAGATCTAGCACTAGTACCGGTGCTGTTTTTCGCGCAACGAAATCTCAACGTCGTGCCGTACATCTGTCTCATGTAATTCAGTGTATGGGTCTGAATCAATGCACAGACCAGCTTTTATATTTTCACCAAACACTCGCACATGTATACAAATCAAACCAGAACACTTTGAACTTTTATTTTTGTTGTTGCAGTGAATTTCATTCTACTTGTCACATCTCTGGAAATTTTTTCGGAAAATCAAATTCATGCCAATTTTTAAAAAATCATACAAATTAAAGTATTAGACTTAGACAACTTTAGTTTTTTGTATTAGATTAAGCTTGAATGTTACTTTACTGTGTCAAAAAATGATTACAATAGGGTAATTCTGAGAGTTGTGGTGATTTATTGAAATACCCCCAAAAACGCCAGTCTTCAACGCTTGTGGCTGGTGAAAGGGCCCAGTCGCAAGTGAGTTAAAGGTGGAGCAATTATAGAAACAGATATTTGCAAGACATCACTTTGTCACCACTGAAAGTTATTTTTTAGACAAACTTTGAAGTAAGAATTAAAATTTCAGATAAAGAGAAGTGTACCAGTAAGATAAGTCAACTTGAACTGAGACAAAACAAAATGGGTGACAGAAAAAAATAAGAGAAAATAAAGAAATTGAATTTACAAGTACCCTCCAACCACTTGTTCCCAGTTCATCAAACAACTGCATCACATTCAGCAAAATATTTAAGCCATTGTTTGGCTGACATAACATACATACTTACCCTCAATTTCACTTCTCTTGGAGCTAATTTCTTCAATTCACTTAAGAGCCTGTCTCCAAATCCTGCAGAGAAAAAACAACTTGTTAATTAATAGTGCGACTTACAAGATTTGTCATTCACTCAGCAAACCAAAAGGCCTCACAAAACACAATCCTACCTGCTCTGTCGACCACCTGTCCAAAAAAATCACATATGAAATTCCCCACTTGCTTAAAAAAACAACAACTATAACACTGTTCAAGAGGACCACCACCTGTCTAAGATTACTACTTTTCTTTTTGACAACGGGGTTGTCTTGGACAGGTTATATAAAAATCTTTAATTATGGCAACGGTTCAAACTTGTTCACGCTAACTGAAGTTACAATTATTACATTTGCAGGTCATATAACAATGAAACATTTTGAAGGGAAAAAATGACAGGAACACATTGGCGGTCCTAACTGGGATAATGCCACTGTGAATGTGGCTCCTCTAGAGAAAGGGGCAGAGCTGACATGTGAAACAAGCATTGTCTTTAAATCCATAGTATTTTCTATTCAGTTCAAGAAGCATTCTAATACAATGTCGCTTTCTTTTCTTTGCCATTACAAATCAAGCAATACCTTTTCTCTACGAAACTTCTCTCAAATACATGAGGTCCTAACGCGTGTACCTTTGAACAATGTAGATCCTCCACTAAGAACAATGTTCGAATACAGTGTCTTCCTCAAGTCCAGGTCTGACTTCTGAATAGCACAGGATAAGACTTCATGGATTCCCTCACACTCATCCCCAACCAGATCTGGTCTGAAGAGCAACTCTGGTGCCCGGAACCTTGCAGGTCCAATCTGCCCCAAGATCAAGAAGTATCATTACAAGACATGTGGTTTAAGTAGTTTATAGCAAATTGAAGGGGAGTCAGCACAATGACAACTACAATTTGGTAGTAACTCATTAAACAATAGTATCACTGGTAGGAGTGAAGAGAGTAGAAAGTTCAGACCACACAAAAACACATACCAACTTTCAGCGTTAATATCAGATATAAACTTTCAGAAAATTCCAAATCACATAACTGAGCCAGTTAGGTACATAACAACTACTGTGAAACTTTATTTCTAAAATCTAGAAAACAGAGAACACTGCCATGTAAACACAACGAGCGGAGAAGATCTCTCTTACACACCTCACCCTTTGACAAAATACATGTTCGAATTTAAGAGAGGCATACTGACATGATTACTGTCCTTTCTTTAATGATAAAACAAATCAAGACAGAAACATAAACAATGGACTGAGGATTAAAATAAGATCTTGCCATGACAGAATCAGACACAATAAATTTAATGGTTTAAGTTAAACTAGAGGTTCCCAAGTTTCTAAATCTTACATACACAAAGACAAACAATTCAGAATAAACAATTACAACTTTTGCTCGGAAAGATTTAGGTAATAAAGACACTGTTACTGACCTCCACTTCATTGCCATCTGGAAGAGTGTACTGAACCTTTTCTGACTCCATACTTTCTTCCCTTAGTGGGTTGATGGAGAGATAACAAGTCCTCTGAAAAAAATAACCAATGCAAATGAATACAGGTCAGAATATAGAAATTAAGGATATAATACAAACTTCTCCCCCAACTCAAACACCTGAAAACAGTTTTAAATCCCCAAATGTACGTAATACAAAGCGACAAGAGTGTGTACTTCCTGTATTATTCTCTTCTGCGAATGTATTGGTCATCCTCAGACATTGATAGATGAGCTATTACACACATGTGCAATATTTTTCTGGTCATGAACAGTATTTGTGTGCTCATATGACCTTATGCAGTTGCGGGCGCTGCAAAACTCTTACTAAACTAAACTAAATAAACTATTTATTGGAGTAACTTTCCGCAGAAGATAAATATGTATTACAGTAGTTTCCAAATTTTATAAACATACCACTTCCTTGTTGAATTTCCCATTCTATTGTGACCCTCTACTCCCCCTCCCAATATTAAAAAACAAATGGGATTATCAAACAAAACTGTGGAATACCCCCCAACTATCTGACAAACAATGGATTTCTTTACTTATACATGACTACTCTTTGCATGTCATATTTTTTCCCCCAACAGAGAGACAAACCAAGCATTAGTGTTGGCAACATTTTGTCTTGCTTTAATATATAGCAAGTACCTCTTTCAGCTGTTTCACAACTTCAAACTCAGCAGACGTGTGGAAGTCAAAGCCCTCTTTCCTCAACAACAGACGCAAGTAGCGGGTAACGTCTCTTCCTGCTATGTCAACTCTCATTATGCTGTGTGGCATGGCAAAACCTTCGTAGATGGGCACTGCGTGAGTCACACCATCTCCTGCGTCTAGCACAACACCAGTGGTACGCCCAGTGGCATACCTGATAAATAGAGAAAAATGAAAGCAAAAGAAATATTGCTGTCATATCATCAAAAATATTTAATCTAATATCCAACATTCACGAAAAATACACCTGAATTATGTAAAGGTCTGAACCAAATATATAATGACTTCAGAACACTTCAACTAAACATACCTTTTCTTTAAAATTATTTAAAAAAGAATAACGTTTACACTGGAATTTTATTCAAAGAATTCATTTTGTAAGTTGTGTTTATTTTGGATCCCTCCACCATACCCATTGAAAAAAGGTGGGAAAGTGGTTCTGCTACTTGTTCTGTGTGCCCTTGATATCATCTTCAGCCCAGTCAACTTTGAAGACGCTAGTTTCTTTTGTTTCTCAGTTTGTGAACAAGACGAAGCAGAACACAATATTCTAATCTCATGCAACCCAAATTTCTTCACAAAGAGTACTCCTTCTAATAAAAGAAGCAGGTTATGTCTGGGGAATATATTCAATGAACAACAAGACTTACAGACTCAACACAGCTTGCATGGAGATGAATAAGGCGGGAACGTTGAATGTTTCGAAAAATATTTCCGCCGCTTTCTCCCGATTTCTCTGCGGGTTCAGGGGTGCCTCTGTCAATAACACAGGATGCTGAAAGGAAAAGTAAAAGAATAAGTAATCACAAACTTTCTCTATAACTGAAGAAAAAGACAGCACACCATGCATGAACCAGAGAAATTATGCAAGCAGACAACTGAACAATGAAAACAATAAATAAAACTTAAAACTAAGTTACTGTTTTTTTAAAAGTCAAATGGGACAGTACTAGTAAAAAAAAGAAAAAAACAAGAACTTGCTCCTCTACATACAGTCTCTCATTCAGATTAATTTTCGAGAGCAAACTGAACTCAGCTAAAGCTGTCCCTAGTACATATGTAGTGAGATAAGTGGATTTCTACCTTAAATGTCACCAAATCACACAAGATCTCTGAACTGCCCTTCTTCTAACAAGACCACACACTGACAATTTTCCCAACACGACTACAAAATAATTAATAATAATCGAAAAACCAGACCTACCAAACAGAGGCATGAGACACCGGAGGAAAGCTTTAAGATATCACCTTTCAAAAGCAATGTCGGTTTAAGAAAAACAAATGCTGAAATTCTTTGAATCTTAAAATTAAAATCCCATACCAAAGTAAAACTAACTGAATAATAAAAACATATTTTTAAAAAGTCTATACTTGTGTAAAATTTTATTTAACACAACAAGCTACAGTGTCCCCCTCCTTCTCCCTTTTTTTTTCTCAGCACCAGGCCCTATATTTCTCTTAGTCTTGTTCCTCATCCTTGAAGCTGCACTCACTTCCTTTACATTAAAGTTAAAAAAAGCTTTCTAACCAGACATTATCTCACCTCTTCTGAAATGGTCTGTAATTGATCCTTTGAATAAATGTATTGCCATATTTGTTCCATGTCATTCCAGTCTTTCACAATTCCATGCTCCATTGGATAGCGGATAGAAAGCAATCCTCTGTGTTCCTGGATAACAAAAATGTTTGTGGAACAATGAAAACCTGGTAGCATAAAGTGCTCAAATAGGAATGTTTTAACATTTGCAATACTATCAGCCATGGAGAAAAGAATTATTGTTTTAAAAACTTACATCCTATCGTCAACTCAGTTATACATTACCAGTAAGAACTTCCAAAGAAAGGGCTGAGTATCTTCACAATGTCACAGACAATTTGCATCTTCTTTATAAATATTTAAAGCTTATAGTCTGTTTTTCCAAATATAGCACAAGAGCTGTATTCTCAAAACAGTTCACAACTATAAATTTAGTTTAGGTTAGCTCAGTTTTAGAAAGACCTTTAAGGCACCTGCAAAACAATTACGTCATATAGGTGATGAAGATTAGAGGTATTACTAGTGAGTATACAAATATAAGAAGCAGGAGAAATCAAGGATGATAGATGTTTCATATGAAAGAAGGAGCAATCCACACCAGAGCACCCACCAATCACCCATGAGTGTAAATCTAACCTCCATATATTTGCATGCCCTTACGTTAAACAATGATGAAAACATGAAAACAGCAGGTAAGTCTTGGAGGGGGGTTGTAAATAGGAGGAAAGAAATGATCGCAGTGACAACTTTACATTTGCTGACACGGACACTGTCAATATTAGACTTCCAAAATGTCCAAGTAAATTTGCAATTTCTTGATTCAAAAAACTTTTTAAAAATTGTTCTCACTCTTATTTACTTTTGTATCGCCAATCATGACAACTCTGTTTTCATCTCACCTCAGCTTCTGGTCCCAGAAAAATGTCCCCTTCAAGAGCTCCTGCCATAATGCGTACATGCTTTGGACGGCCAATGCTGGGAACAGAAGAATAAAGTTACATATATATATATCGGGATCCCTGCTTCTAATAATGGGCTACATAATATAACTTTGATCAGCTTGAAATCAAACTCTAGTCACAGGAAACCTAAGACCTGCAATTGACAGAGGATTGCTCTGTTGAACTTGATAATTAATTTTTTTGCACTTAAAAATTTGTAGCTGTGTAATGTATATTGATAGCAGCCAGGATGAAGAGGTATAACCCACAAACAGTTCAATACCTGGATTTTAAAAAAATAAAAAAATCTCCACAGTATCTATAGATACACATCTCTATCAAATATTTTTGCTGAAATTTGACCAGTAAAGAAGGTAAAACACTGAAAGAAAACCTGCCATCCCACAAGTGTGAAAGTGGTTTTATACGGTTTATGATTCCTTCCTCAATACCCTTACAAAGTGTACGACTTAACATTGCCATTACACAAGTTGCAGAGAAAAGAGAATGTACAAGAAAGAAATACAGATAGACAGAGATACCAAGGAAGAGAAAGTAGAGGACGAATGGAATGAGACAGAACAAAAAAACAGACAGAACAAAAAAACCCAAAACAATCTAGGAATGAAAATAACATCGCTCTTATAAATTATACCATATTCTTTTCAGAAAATTTACTTTCCCCACTGTCTTTTTCAAAACAAAACCAAGAGCCCAATAATCTATTTAATCTTTTATTCTTATAAAACAATCTATCAATATGAACAGGCGGACAATTGTAACACTAAATGTAAGGTTTTTATTACAGTATTGAAGACACTATTACAAAGGTTACAAAAATGCTGTCATAAAAAGATAGAAATGACAATAAAATAATCACAACTGCTACTGCCATGAAGTTTAAGTCTTGAGAGAGAAATTCTTTTTTGTTGTATGACTGGGCGATAAAAAAAATGGTACCCATTCCCTTTAACCAAGGATTGAATTTGTTTTTAAGTACCTTCTGTCTGAGGTTGTAATGTAGTTAGAGGAATATTATAATAAGAAATAACTGGTGTATGAAAGAAAACATGGTTTGTAAAAAACTGATAGTCGACACAGTGTGCCATGACAGCTCTGTCAACCATGAAAAAAGATAACCATTTTTTAAAATTTGAAAGAAATTAATTAGCATAAAATACAGATGCTTACGTCTATCCCAAAATGTAAATGTAAGTAGGAGAAAAAAACTTGATGTGTGACTCTTGTTGTTCTGTACTACTTTTTAGACCTAGCTTACTGTCTGCATGCCATCTGGTATGTAATACGCGTTATTTTGATACTTAAAAAGACTCAATCAGTTGTAAGAGTGTCACTAAAGACATTGATAAATGTCTTGACATAAAAAAAAGTAAAAAAAGAATTTTTCGATGGCATCAGAAAATGATGAAGATCTATGATCACAAGGACTGTTAATTGGTGGAACTTTACAGTCAAGTCTGGAACAAATGAATGCTTTGCATGATAGAATAAAATTACACAGCAGCAAATGGTGAATTAGATTTTAACTGAAAAAAATAAAAAATAAATGAACAATTTTTAAAAAGAGAGAAACATACACTTACTAATTTGGAAATATGTATTTGGGAACTTGGTCTCCTGCAAAACCTGCTTTGATGACACCAGAGCCCTAAATGAAAGAGGAACACATTGCAGTTAGTTGGAAATCAATTGAAATAAAAACAAACATCATCTGATCATAATCCCAGATTTAGTTTAATAAATAAATAAGGGTTGGGGAAAAAAGCCTGGGGGCGAGGGGGGGGGGGGGGGGTATTATAATAAAAGGGGTGATTTTACATACTCAGCAGAGAGAGAAAAGCATTGCAGTAACGCTGTGCCCAAAGACCCATAGACGTTACAGTTTGTAATTGGTTACTGGTAGCATGTGCTTACCCTGGGGGAGGGGGTGTCAATCTATTTTAATATAGACTCACTCGTCTCATGTTCAGATATTTTTGGAAGGACTGTTATATATTGTACAAGCAACCACTCCAACAATACAAAAACAAAAGAATAAAGGGACCTAACCCTACTCATAACCCTACTTTCAATCTATTTCATCGTAGTGGTTGCTTGTTACCGAATTCCTCCTGATATTTTAAAGCACTTTTCTTGTTCAGTTTTATATCTGCTTCACATAAATTGTGATGTTATTCACCACCAAATATTAAGTTTATGAACTATATATTATATGAAGTTTTTATATTTGTACTTATATTACGATGCCCAACTGCATGATCAAAATTAAGTACAATATTTAATTTGTTCTTAACAAACATTGGGGGGTGGGGGGGCTGCAAAAAAATTTCAGGAGGGCATGCTCCCGTGTATTTCACCATAAATTTCATGATGATTTGAGAGAGTTTTAGCGGCCATATAAATTTGGACTGCAGCAAAACATCAGCTACTTTTAGCCCACAAAAAAAAAGCAGTGCATTTCTCCGTGTTGTCACAGTGCGAAAGTACTTAAATTTTCCTTTAAATTTAACTTTTTGGTGCCAATCATTGTGATGACATGGTTCTAAATAGACACAGTGAGTGGTGGGTTTTTAATTATTTTGGCGGGTTCCACTGCTGCCTGCAGCTTACAGGCCTTCATCAGACTGTACTATAGTAGTCTCCGCCTATTTTTTAAGTTTAAGGTTGACTAAGACTAAGGTAGATCTACTTTGACAAAAATTGACGGTAGTGTCAATTGCCACCGAATGAAGCGGTGTAAAGTCTGAAAACAACACTAATCTTTAGCTTTCTATTCATAATGTGTGTCTAATGAATGGGTCAATTTGTTCTACTAATTTTATTGGACGAGCATAGAACTAGTCTAGAGCTACGGTATCAACTTTGCGGGTTTTCAATGAGACATAGGCCTAGACCTAGGCTAGCCTTAGCCTACACTTCGGTATAGAACCAACACAGGCAATTCTAGAAGTAGAAGGTCACAAACCCACACAAACTCAAGCAGAAATTCATTTTATATCGGGGAACATAAATCCGGGGGGACGGGGGCAGGGGTCAAGAAAAGACACACACACACACAGAGGGACAGAGAGGCGAACGCACAACAGTCAACACCGATCACTTGAGGACAATAGGCTAGATTTACTCACCAATGCAAAAGAGCTCCAATTTACTCGGTGGCAATTGACACCACCATAATTTACAGTGATATACAGACCCGGTACAAAGTCACGAAGTATACAGACCCGGTAGGACAACTCTTTTGTGATGTCGGAAAGTTTCAGCGCCCAGACCCGGTAGTGTGTGTGTGTGTGTGTGTGTGTGTGTGTGTGT